GGACCATGAGATTGCACAGCCACTGAACACCCTGGCTGACGGAGTAGGCGGCAGTTCGAGGTCCCTGACGGAAGATCTCTGCGACGATCATGGCTGGAATGGGACCCAAACCAACTGCAAAGCAAGCTAGGTAAATGTAGACCATGCTGACGGCCACAATGGCGAAGGGGGCCTGCTCCTCCTCGGGTTTGCTGCGTCCGATGGTGACTATAATGGATTGCGTGAGCAGACAGCAGCCGAGCAGCAGTGTAGGCCATAGCAGTAGGGTGCGACGACCCGCCCTTTCAAGCAGTGGCAGTGCGATGATGGTGAAGACCACGTTGAGGATGCCCAGGCCCACAACAAAGTACTGCATCTGGTCCTCTTTTACCTTAGCTGTCACCAGCATTGTCGATGAATTAGCAATCACCTAAGAGAAAAAAGACTCCTTTAAAATGCATATTCAATACTTTTTTTCGTTTAGAACAATCAACCTCTACATTTTTATGGAATGGTATGGTTGACTTAAGAGTTAAGTACAGGAATTTCGATATATATGCCAGCGGGAATTTCTAACAAATACTTTTCTACTTTTACCCATTTCTGGGTCCTGAACGCCAATTTTATTTTGAATAATTAGCTAACAATCCCGGTTGGTAGCTGTAATTCACCAGGCACTCTAATGCTGCGCTTCTCATAATCACTCTGTACTTCAAAGTATTTTGCCATTTCTCGAGATTCACATTATCATGGCTGCAGTTTACTGCTGATCACACCTTCTTTGTGAGTTGTAAAAATTAAGTTATGTTATCAGTAGATAAGTACGTCAAACCATCTAAGTGCGGCAAATGAAATATCTAGTTGTACTTAAATGGAAGATGCTATACTAAGAATGTGAAGGCTTTATTTTTCCATTGAAATAAATAAAGTAGTTGTTGCATGTTTAATCATTGAAAACTGAAGATTAATGCGAAGTGTACAATTATGCTGCTAAATAAAAAAAAGTAGCTCGTATAAAACCTACTGCATTGATGCCACAGAGTTGCTGGAGCACTTGGATAAGAATGGCTATAGCTGTGGCTTTTCTGTACTCCCGTTTTGTAAAGAGATAGGAAACTTTGAATTCGGGTTGCGATTTCGTCGCAGCTGCCTCATCATTCATATCTTTGACAAAGTCATTTGCATTCTCGGCGCCGGATACTTTCATATACGCTTCCTTTGCACGCTCCTCCTCCTTTTTAATCAAGAATAAGTAACGAGCGCTTTCAGGACACAGAGGTAGGAGAACAAGGCCAGTTACACAAGGAATTGCACCAATTAAGATGGCATAACCCCAACGGTCTTCTGTATTGAGTAGAAAGTCGAGCGTGACGACGTAAGAAAGGCAGATCCCAATTGTGACCGCCAGCTGGTGACACGCTCCAATCATGCCGCGAGTGCTTGTGGGTGCAATTTCCATGAGGTACATGGAGGCGACACCAATCGTCACCCCAGCGTTGAGACCGGAGATAAAGCGTCCGACTAATAGCACCACAGCATTTTTTATATTCACACAGATACCAGAGAGAATCGCACCAAGTAGACCAATTACGGTGTTCATATGAAGACTGTTTCTTCTGTCATCACAAACAATAACATCAAAGAAGATTTAAAAGGCAGAATTTTTATTAATAGGATGCCAAATTGTTAAGAAATTGAATGTTCACGCGAAAATACACGAGAAAGAAATGAGGTTTTCCTACCGTAGCAATTTCCAATAGTTATTTTTTACGCTTATTTATGACCATCCCTGATTTCAAACAATTACCAAAGTTTAAGTAAATTAACTAAAGCGAAGGTGATGAACACGAATTATTCGGTAAATCTTACCTTCCAAGTTTGTCAGCAAGAAAACCACAACTGAATGCTCCAATCGCTGCTCCGACTATGAACACCACGCTTACCAGAGCATATAACGTTTCCTTATCCAAAACTGACATCTTTTCCACCATAAATTGTTCTATATACTTTAATTTCAAGAAGAAAATTGGTGTAAATAGCTTGCAGTGAAATAATTGCACTACTTGAAGTATTGTAGTTTGCATCAACTGCATCCTCCCTAACTTTACCGGTACCGCTTATTGTAATTTACGCTTGAAAGGGAGAATAGCTTACTAATCATTTCCTGAGCATTAGTGTGTCAATTAAAAGTTAACAGGTCGTAATGACGGACAGCTGAACATTCTTAACGATTTTAGTTTTAACAGGGTTCACCTAGGTCAGTCTCAGTTACGTAAAAGCTTGTTATAACATATCTTTGACTACCGTGATCAAAGTGAGTCAAATTTAAAGCTAAAGAAATTCCAACTCACTTTTGCTGGCAAATTGACGATACCAAGATTATAGCCCATCATGAATGACGAGCTGACGCAGGTGACGAATGTTGCGAACACCAGGGTGCAAGTCACTGTCTAAAATGGATAGATAATTGCGTCAACATATGAAATAGTGGATTTCGGTTGGCAGTAGCTGAGGCCTACCATCCTGTCGACCGTGCCCCAGGCGGTTGCGTCAAATGTCAAGCCTACCGAATTTCAAACATGGCGATCGATAATCCCACCGCCCAATCGATATGATACGCGGCTGCTGCGAGCGGGCTGCAACGCCCACTGTCAGCGGCGCGGCAATCAACTGCATGGTATGCAGCGTTTGGACATTCGATGCGATGCCCATTTAACTGACGCTAATTCCACATTAGGACAGCCATTCCCCCATCCTTTTTAGCGCAACTGCCCTAGTTCGCAACGCCCCTCTCTCTCGGCAGGGCATTGCGCTTCGAGTAACGGACAATTTGGCCATCATAACCTATGTCACGGTCTCTACTATAGGATCTTCAATGCGAGCTGCTCGCATTTGTCAGTCACACTCATTCGGATTTGTTTTAATGTCTTTAGTTAGCTGTGATTAAACACTCAAGACTAGGATCTCAAAATTGTGATGTGCTCCCAATGCAGGAGATATGTTAAATAAGGAAATTTTTGAAAATCCATGATTTATGAGCTCTTTCAGCTGTATGTCCACACCACCGCAGTGCTTTCAAAACTACCAACCTTGATCTAAACAGAAATGCACCACAAAGCAACACCTTTGTTAACGATTAGGATGTTTCCAATTAAGTGGCATGCATGTTCAAGTAGATGCCAATTGTACATTATTGGCCGAATATCGGTTACTTTCAACGCATTACACCTGTGCCTTGCCCTCAATAACATCTGAATATGCAGATGGGGTTATGGTGATGTTCCACCCTCGCTTGTCCATCCACCTCCGTTCTATGTGTATGCCCCTTTGGCTCTAATAGGTGGGAAATATGAATACTGTTTCTGTCGCCATTTTAAACAGCCTTCAAATAGAAAACCCACGACCCATCAATTTCAACGTTTGCGGTGATATCTGGTGGTAAAGCATGCTTGAACATGAGTTCCGGCTTCAGATTTTAGGAGTTGTATGTAAATAACGTGCATTTGTATGTCTCGTTTAGTTTGAACTCACAGAAACGCAAGCCATTTTTTGGCTTATGTAGTCGCATTAGTGAGAAATGGGTAATTCACCTTTATGGAAGCCTCGCAACTACATATTTATTGTCTTGGATCTTAGCGTAGTTGGAATTGTAGTCCTACTCCGCCTTATCTTAATGATCCCATGGGACAAAGTAATGGAGCTCTGAATATTGACTTCTTTACGCATAAACTACCTTGAATGCCTCACACGCCCATTTTTGGTGCTCATAGAGTTGGCAACACTTTTCGGGATCATTTACGAGTTGATCTGCCGAAATGCTAAGTTAACGTCGCACTTGCTTTTATTTAATGACTCCGATTTCCCAGAACCAAGCTTGGTTAGACTGCTGCTTACAGAGTACGAGAGTTAATCAAATGCTTGGGTTTAGTTTGAGCGCTAAACTTTGTTATTTGGTCGACTTCATACGCCACCAACTGAATCCACAAGATATCCGAATGCAGCATTGCTGACACGCTTGTATCTCAAGGAATCACACAAGCTGCATTAAGTGATGATTTGAAAATTCATGGTTAGACACGATGGCTCGGTCGAATTTCTGCTCACTCGGGCACAGGACTATGCAGGAATCCCGAAATTCTAGAAAAATACCTGCAAGACTTGGGTACCCACCCTCCCACACCCCATCCATTGGACATACTTTTGTTGAAAAGATGTTGTGGGATAAAGGATTCCTTCTGAGAACAGCTGCATCGGCAAAATACCACTACATCGAGCAAGGTGGCGTGTCAACCTCTGTGCCTCTTGCAAGTACTCAATGTGGCCATGCCTGCCATAGGGTTGTTGCTGAAGCGCAAATCACCTCTTTAACACAGTATTAGTGAAATGGGTGGTTCCGTTGTTTACATGCCCACTTCAGAAAAAGTTGGATAGTTAAATTTATAGCTAGTTTTATATTACTCAAACAGTAACCTTTAATACTGAGATTCATTAGGATTAAATAAGGTTCTTTTAATGATGAGAGGAGATGTTGTTATAAATGCTTTCATAGAAAGTACCATCGGAGTTTCAGACTGACGCACTTCTTTCAGTTTAACTGAATCCCAAAAATAGGGCAAAACATTGTAGTAAGCGGCTACTTTTCCGCTACAACTACATCTAAATGAATTGCTGGGAGACCTTGTGCAGAAATGAAGAAAATGCAGCGTCATACTAACTTGACGACTAAATTTACCCATGTGCGTAGACTGGATAGTAGCTCCCAGGTTATTGCATAATACATGGCTTTTTCAGCATTCTGTTTCTGCAACCATCGAAGTGAACGCCTCTGCTATGCCAGCCAAGGCGCATCAAATAGGCATAATAAGTGAAACGTCCACTCCATCGGATGATTCGAGGAATTGGGAAGAGAAACCATTTCCCACTCAGCTTTATCCTCTGGCCAGGTCCCTTAAACTATTACAGCATTTGATGGCGATCACATCTGGTTAATTTGCATGTAAGACTTTTTCAAAGCAGTGATCTTCCTATTGTAGCACTTTCCTCAAAGACAACTACACATTCAAAATATTACTTATTTTCGGTTCTTCAATTAGAAATCACAAGTAATGGTGTTAGGCTTGCAGTTGAGGTGTTTAACGGAGTTAGACTTTTCCCTTTGATTCAAGGATATCATTTACCTGATGGATGGCATTATTCAAACAATGGATACTAAGTTTCTGCTTCGAATTGATAAATCACGGTTGGGAAGCTTTTCATTGAGTTTCTGATCGTCAAGTCAACTAATTTCCTCCCGTAGTTGACACCTTACCTTGAGTCTGACGGTTTGGATACGCTTATTTTCCCTTGCTGTCCTATAGGAAACATTCAGGTAGGTGCAAGTGGTCCCCCTTCCCGAAACCTTCCCCATGACTTTTGTGTGTCAGTCAGCTCTCAGGATTTCACTGGCGAGAAACTGGCAAGGTCCTCTGGTCCGCATTGACGCTTGAATGTTTTTGGAGGTACTTTAAGGGCAGCGAAATTTGAATCCACCGTCAGAAGGAAGGTGACATACCGTTGTTTTGTGATAGCTTACGCAATAGATGTTTACCACTGCCGACGCTAACGAAGTGTAACAGAGCCAACCATTCATACACACTGCCGCACATCGTGGCAAGAGATGCAACTGTGCCAAGGCAGTCGTCCAAAGTTGCTGGCAGCGTTACTGTTTACTCCCTCCTCTCAATTCTTAGTAACACTCGTCCGGTAAAAGGGGTTTCAGATAAGTGTTCCCACCTGCTACCTTCACTATAGCAATTAGATTTGCCACCATTGTCTGTGATGTTGACCACAACTTTTGGATGCGTACAAACGAGAACTCCTTAAAATCGGTTCCTACAACCTTTTCGAACAAAGTAAGCTGGTTAATAGCCACAATTATATCCACATTTGCTCATCTTTCGAATATTTTATTATTATCAGTATTGTTATAGGAAAAAGGCGCAAAAAACTGCTCATGGATGTTGTGCGACTCTAGACAGTTTCAAAACGGTTAACAACCAGGCTGAACTCTGATGGGTACGGCAAAGCTAGATAGCAGCATCAGTATCACTTAATGCCATCCCCAGACCAAGGGCACAAGCAGGCACTCTTATGAACAATCACTAGAACTCACGCCAACGCACACCACTTGAGGAGGGGTACGACATTTGTTCGACTTCAACCAACTATTTCCAAGAAGTTTTCTTGTGCGGCTGCAGACGTTTTCGTCGCTTGTCGGCTTACTCCGTGTATGTAAAACAATTATATCGTCAGACTGCTGATTGTAACTAACGCCAAACGTGACAGGTACAGGTACTTCGCGTAATCCGCGCTAGACAAATCGGACCCGCCACACGAATGAATATGACCTCATAGATAGATAGCACAGCATTTCTCAGCATCAACCCACCGCTGTGAGAGGATTCCACGCAACGAATATCCTCGCTTTCTTGCAAAGGCAGACTAGATTCAGACGGAAAAGTAAATTGCATCTACTGAAAAACCACGAAACAAGTAAAAGAACCACCCGAGTAATTTCCCCAAACATCCACTTAACAGTGAAACAAGTACGTGGAGTAAAGGCAACAAGCTAACAGTAGGTACAGCTCCGTCTCAATGTTTGTAAATGCAACTTAGCCCACACGCTTTATCAAAAGGCATGCGTGGGAGAGAAAGAAAGAACACAACCATCGAGAGTGATCGATACATACTAAACCAGACTCCATTCAGAGTATTTTTGAACGCTGTTACGTTAAAGGGTGAGCGTGAAATGGAAAGCGCCAGAATGAAAATGCGTTTTGAGGGAAGGGGAGGAAAAAGAAAACAGTGCGCTCAGATAAGAAACAGCTAATGATCAAGATTCCGTGATAACCGAGACGCCCCCAATATCTGCCTGTGGAGTTTGATTCCGGTTTCCTCCCTTACCACGTCGGCCACCGCCACCATGTCTGGAGCCCAGACGAGGGATGGTTTCGGACTGTAGAATTGACTCTTCTACGAAAATGACATAAAGTAGTTCAGTAAATTCCAAGTAAATTAATTTCATAAAGAAGAAAAGCCTCTGGGTGACGGAGCGGTAAAGCACAAAAGTGGTAGACTATATCGGAAAAATTAATAATGACAAGTACTAGACTTACCTGGTCTGGGTGCAGGTGGAGGTAGTGATTCCTGTCGAGGCTGTGAGGAGGGTTCATCACTGCCCCCACCACCCCGAGATAGCGGAAGTTGGTTCCTGCGACGACGGTGAGTCGATCGACGGAAGTTGCGATATGAAGTTGAATCCGAGTGTTCAGTGCCCGTGTCCGTCACTCTTCCACTCCTAAAGCAACCGCCAGCATCACCATTGAAAGTAGTCGCGGTGGTCATTCCATTATCAGTCGCTTGGCCACTGTCCATCTGATGGAAGCGGAAAGTTCGTTCACCTTTGGCGCTATCCGATTTACTAATAGGCGAAGATGAAAATGTAGCAACTAAAAAGGTAGAGCATGCACTGCAAAAATAACCTGGTTCCGCATGAAATGCTTTTGATATCGCATGATCCAACCCCGTTTATAAAATTTCAAAGTGCATATTTCGGGGCATCAAACGGCAGAGTACGAGGCAGTTTACCTTGAAGGATCGCGCTTCTTGTAGCGGTTTCCCTCGCCATTGTAAAAACGACTGCATTCATGTGGAGTAATTTTCGCCTGAAGCTGGTCAATTTCCTTTAGATTATCGGTAATGAAATTTATCAATATTTTGGCGTCACTTATCGCCGACCGGGTACCAGTGAAGGCGAAAGGCACACAATTTGGTACAGTCACCTCGTTAGCGGCTTGGACACGAATTCTGGCTAACCCGACTCGGTCCACCAAAGCTTGAATTTGATGATTCTTTTGTCCGACAATACGGGCCACGTACTGCTGTGGAACTTGCATGGCCTCAGTGGCGTACTCCAATAACTTTTTAGCGTTCTCGACTGCCTCTTTGGTCTAAGTGGATAAAAATATCACCTTGGTTTAAATGAAACACCATATTGCGACTTGTGGACGGCGAAATAATCTCTTTTAAATAAACCAATGAATATAAACGTCAACTAGGTGTTAGTCAAAAAGCTAAAAAAACGAATTGAGAGTAAATCCTCGATTCAGTTACCTTCCCGGTGACCTTAAATGTGCAGGTATCAGGATTGAGGATAACACTAACAATCCCATCGACCGATCGGGCACGGCGAATGTTAGCTCCGCCCGCACCAATAGAATGACCAACAAGATCTTTTTCAACAGAAAATTCTGCACAAATAAATTCATCGCTCTAAATACAAAAAGGAGGCTTGCGAAATACTTTAAAATAGATAATGGTACATGGAGAGCGGATAAATCGTGCCGTGATAGACACTCATGACGCAAAAAAACAGAATCGTGAAAAAATAAATAAACTAGGAAAAGTGGCCCACCTTAACAGAATTTACTTCCTTAAGACGACGCGAAAGCTCACTAATTTGGTGAAGTATGCAGTGCTTCTGCCTGAGCATTCTAATTACATCATTGTCTATTGTTTCCGCCTTGAGCTTCGTCTCTGGTGATGTGCAAACAACAAGAAATTTGGTCACCGATCCTTCGGAGATGTTAGTATTTGAAAACTGAAGGGGAAGTTTCATGTCTTCCCTAACTTGGCAAAACAGCATCGATTGCCCACAGGCACGAACGATATGTTCAATATTTGATGCCTCTTTGAAACTAAAGGGCAAACCATTCGTTAAAAAAAGTGGCTAAAACACAGCAAATAGCATATAAATCTGGTAATATCGCCACAAATATAGTAGTAATAGGGCATAAAAATGCGGAAAGGACATCTAAATATCTACAACCTCAAGATAAAGATAAGAAACTTACAGTCCAACTAACTCCTGTGGGACATTAAAAATATGGTATAAAAAATCCGACTCAGAAAGTAGTTGTTCTGAATTTCTGTGTCTAATCTGGTTGATCTCAACCACATTTTCGAGGTGTGGTTTGGGAAAAGCCCTAGATACTTCAGAAGCTTCCCCGCACGCACAAAATTCAACGATAGCGAAGTCACCACGTCGTTTTGTAATACGGGCAGGCCACCAGGAAGGTGGAAGAGCTTCATTAAGTTCATTTGTGGCGGATTTCCCGGCCAAAACCTCGACACAATCACCAACTGAGACATCGGGCCCTTTGGCATCACAAACAACACAGATTGGTGGTTTCCGTAAACAAGCAGGTAGAACAGTGATATCGCCAGGGAATCCAGGAAATTCCTCGACAAATCGGAACACAAAACTGTCGGGAGCTTTGTAATCAACGATATAACCCTTAATCAAAGAAGCAAAGAAGAATTATATTAGGTTATATTTACAGGGTAGGCTTCGCCAAAACTTCCAATCAATTCAACGGGAATAGAGCAATTCATAATTACAAGAAGCACAAAACAACGTGACGCCCAAAAGCATCCGAACAAACGAGATATATATTAAGTACATTCAAACAAATGCATTTGTTACAACATGGTTACAAATAAAATTAATAAAATATTATAACAATAAAATTTTGTAAGGTTTTAAGGTAGGCAAAAGCATTACAAAACAGCCTTTAATATAAAAGGGTCTCTTTAGAATTGTAACGACTCTTTTAAATGCATAGCAAAGTATATCCTTACCCAAAAAAAATAAACAAACAAATTTTAAATTTCTAGCGTAGGTTCTTTTCTAGCCTCAAGTGTACTAAAATTTCTAAGAATCACAAAATGCATGCTGCATGTCACAATATATATGCCTATTTCACAGTGCACCTAGAAAGTTCAACGTGGCATTGGTGTATTTAAAATGCATCAAGCTAAACGTTGCTAATGATAGTTGCCAATTTTGATAAAACACAATGCATTAAATAAATCTTTTAAAGTAAAACTTTCTAATTTTGTAGTTTAAAAGACCGAATTTAAATTTTTAAGCATCCGCATATTTAATATAACCTCTATCGTTTTACTTTACCTAATTAACAACCAAAGGTCACTTCTCCTTAACTGCTAACGTGCTCTCTGGATGGTGTGTTCTGTTTTGCTATCATTGACTTTTAGGTTGACTTTAATCCTTCGTTTCAGTTCGATGCAGGGGTAATGTTCGATTCACTTATTTTGCTTAGGATTTTTTGTCCCCATCCACTGTCTTGACGGAGCCGGCGTTGAATTTGTTTCAAACTAACTTCGAAGTTGACAAATTAATTGACGAATTTCGCGCTAAAAACTCTGCTGAGCTTTCGGATTTTTCAAGTGAAGGATTTGACGTTGAAGAATCTTCATGTCGCGTAGAGTGCAGTGATTTCGGTATATCCACTTTTTTTTTCATGGACTAGGTTCCCTACGTAATAAATATAAAAGTAAAGGCAATAAACGTAATGATTCAGAAGATAACGCCTTTGAAGAGCACTATGAATTCACCCAATCTGTGATGGAGTATGCTGAAGTTGAGTCGTTTCTCTCGTTTAAACTCTCTAAACCCCTCTTGAAGTCTCTTACCGCGATGAAAATCTTTAAGCCGACGCCTATACAGTGTGCGTGCATCCCCTTAGGATTGCTTAATCGTGACATTTGTGCTTGTGCACAAACCGGTTCGGGGAAAACTTTGGCTTTTTTGCTTCCTGTTGTTGAGCGGATGGTATTCGCGCCAATTGCTTCCCGTAGCACTACGAAGGCTCTTATTATAAGTCCAACTCGTGAATTGGCTGTTCAGATTTTCAAAGTGGCTGAACATCTGGTTAAGCATTGTCCACGACTGAAGATTCAGCTGGCAGCAGGTGGACTGGACTTATCTTCGCAGGAAGTCAATTTACGCAGGAATCCTGATATTGTTGTGGCAACTCCAGGTCGGCTTATAGACCATCTCTCCAACGCGCCGAGTTTCACACTGAGTGGGATCGAATATTTGGTTTTAGATGAGGCTGATAAGTAAGTGAAAAGTTGTGTACGCTATTATTTTAGGCTTCTTGATGAATATTTTACCGAACAAATAAAGGAAATTGTCCGACATTGCAGTTCTCACCGGCAGACCCTGCTGTTCTCAGCAACGATGACTGAAACGGTGACTTTTGATTGCCCAGTTTTCATGAAGTTGGAGTTCCTTTTTATTCTAACATGCCCAGTTTTGAACAAGATTTTCACTTCTATGCTTATATTTTCGTACTTCTCTTTATTTCGGCAGGTGCGCGAGTTGGCGACGGTGTCACTGAAAAATCCCGTGCGTATTTTTCTCAACCAGTCCACAGCAGTGGCCAACCGGCTAGAACAGGAGTTTGTACGTATTCGGCCACACCGTGAGGGAGATCGAGACGCTATTTTGGCGGCATTGCTGGTGCGCTCCTTTCCGTGCCGCACCATTGTCTTCCTACCCACCAAGAAGGACTGCCATCGCATCCATATCCTCCTTGGATTAATAGGCGTTAAGTGTGCTGAGCTGCATGGGGACATGAACCAGGCACAACGCTTGGAGGCCCTGCGACGTTTCACTGATGCCGAAGCCCTGAAGTTAGAGGCCATGAACAAGGCAGCCATGGAGACTTCTAACGTTCAGAAATGCCCTCTGCCCCCTCCTGCTGATGTTCTTCTGGCCACTGACTTGGCTGCTCGTGGTCTGGACATTCCAGGCGTTCAGGCTGTAAGTGTTTACCTTCCCCATCAGTGCTTTCCATCAATCAGATCTGCTTCGTAAAAATTTTGGTTCGCTTCCTCTATCTTTGTGCTATTTTCATTAATCATGATGTTTTTAAAAATCCATGCAGATCTTTTCGTTTTTTTATTTGTAGTTCAAAGCTAGTTCTTAAATACTTCGGTGGAAGCCGGTAAAGTTGCACAACCTACTTATTTGTATGCTACGTGAAGTTGCCTTGACGGTTTAAACTTTTCCACTTATTAACAGAGGAAGCCTGAGTTTAGTTAGGCATCGGCCAGGACTTAAATTAGATGAGATTACTGACGGTGGTCTGCGATTCTTACTGGCTTGAAGTACGTCAATCTCACTTATTCTTAGCAAAATCCATGTTTTAACTACTTTTCCACAGCTTAAGATTTTTATTAAATTTACAAGTGATTAGCTTTCCAACGGTTGTTTTTTTTGCATTTCTCATTAAGGTTGTAAACTACAAACTTCCGAACACTATCAAGTCCTATGTGCATCGCGTTGGCCGAACTGCTCGTGCTTCCAACTCGGGTCGGTGAGTATCCATTCCCATTACCAATGGTGACATTGCTCCTGCATCGCTTGAACCGTCGTTCACGCTTTAATTGAATACTAGTAGTAGCACGTTCACTAACAATTGCTGATGTACATCTGGAAATGAGAACTACAGATATGGTAAGGTATTTCCTTCGATTATTTGATTTAATGTTTAACATTGTATTTTAATATAAACCTTTTGATTTTCTTATCAATTGATTAGTGAATTTTTTACCTTCGTGATCACGTTTAAGTTAGGCGTTGTATATTATCTGCTCATCGCAGATGGATTTGCCTCACCTTGTGCTTTGGATCACGCTTTTTGTAAGCACTATCATTTCCCTAACTTCGAAGCGTAACAAATATGATGAATTTTCCCAATTTTTTTTCGACTGTCATTCATAGAAACCGAGAACTTAAATCTTCAAATTAATTCAAGGCAAACAACACAGTTGTCCAAATGCAAATTCTTGCTACGGTTCCGAAAATCATAAGCCAGTGGATATAAGGTGCTCTTATGTGTGTAGCAACTTTTCCACCATTCCTTTTAGTGCTGTGTCTTTGGCTGGTGAATCGGACAGAAAGTTGCTCAAAGAAATAGTTAAGGACGCTCCCTGTCCTGTTAAAGCGCGCGTTATACCACAAGGTAAGCGCTAAAGCTGTGCAAGTACATATCTGGAACCATAGTATCTGCATTTCCTTTAGAATTGTTTCTTATTAGTGCTACACGCAACTATTTCACATCACCTAGTACTTGATCTTTTGTGATTTCAACTATAGCAATTGTTGAAGACTCTTAAGTGACCGTCGGTTTCGGCATTTCATCTGATTTTGTCTATCAGAATTATTTTTCGTTCAATTTAGGAAATATCTAAGCAATATCAAGTGCTTTTTGCTTTAAAAATGTCCTTCTACTTTTATTACATACTGATAAGTCAATTGTATAATGAATAATGAGGTTTGGATTTATTAATTGCAATTCATTTAGTAACTGTCAATTTGACCCCATTTCTATGTGGTGCATCCAGACCTTCGTGATAAGTGTTAGTTTCTTTCAAAAGGTTTGTGTCGAGAGTTTCACTGTATTCCTGTATATTACCTCAAAAACTGGTGTACACAAAAAGCTCCCTTATGAGATATGGTAAAACAAATCTCGGTGTGCTGCATTGGAAATGCACAGATGCAATCTGTTCGCGGCTCCATATGATTTTCACCTGCGCTTAGCACCATTTTGCAGGCTGACTTTTGTGTCTTAGTATGTGCTCATTAGGCGTGTTCAGCTTCTTAACCTAATGGTGGTACTGCCTGTGTCAGTGGCAGATGCTCTCTGTGAATTTTTTGTGGCTAATTTATTAATAATTTTGATCCGGATGGTTCCTTAAAGATGGGACTAGGTTTTTTTTGCTTCTATCATCAGGCTTATATCTCGTTGGGGAAGAATTACAGTGTGTGTATAAACTATTGAGATGGTTGCTCCAATGAACGGGATATTGTAAGAGGCTTGCTGAAGGTGCTTGTCTGTTGTCATTAGAAAAAAGCTTTTAGTTTCCTTGTACAATACAACCAATATTTAGTCATGGTAAGTGTATTAACTGTGATACAAACAGGTTGCAATACCGTTAACCTAGTATGACGTTAAAACATGTGAGAAGAGGAAACAGACATCTGCAATGATTGACTATTGCGAGCCTCCTGGTACTACGCCTCTTCACCTTCATGCAAGTGGTTTTGCGCTATCTGTTGGCACTACCCTCTCCCCCCATGCAAAATTAAGCCTACAAGTTATCGGAACGAGGCTAATTACATCGGTTTCTCTTGTTTGGGCACTCAGTGTTTACGTGGGCTTCAGTCACATCGACTTGCCTGGCTTTACTCGTTTGCTCCAGAAAACCGCACCGCTGTGCTGTTTCTCGTTAGATTGAACCATATACATGGCAGGTTATTTTCTGCTGATTGTGAACGCCCTTGGCTGTAACGCCACTTCGTAATGCACTGAGTGAAAATGTTTGTGACAATGCAAAATTCTCAACGACTCACGCTTATCACAAGGCCACTTTGGAACATAGTATGTTTGGATCGATCAATCTAGCTGATTTGTTAGATCAGTAGTAAACATCAAGCTCACTTATTCAGTCTGAGCACTATTTTTAAGGCTTTCCTGTGAATCTCGAACTGCAGGTAAACCATCATTACTTATGTTAGAGGTTTACGTGTAAAATACGTAGGGCAGATTGATGGTCTACTTCCATATTTAAATGATCAGCAGCTGTTCTGTGTATTGTCGTTATTGGTCCCTACTAATAGCCTTTTTTAAGTCGACAAATCGCTCTGTGGTGGTGGTGCTTTCACCATCTGTACCTGACCTTAATGTTAAATTCTTGTAGAATGACCTTCGAAGACGCCTAGGACAACAATTTGAGATATATTTCTAGCCACTTAGCCGAAGTTTTCTGCAGCTATATAACTCACTCCACACTTTTTGGCCTTCCCCACTTTTCACAAACCGACGTTTCAGCACTTACTTTCCGTTTTTGAATGTGGAAGCTTTTCAAAGGATATGATGTTTCACAACAATGGATAAATCTGTATTTTTGGACCGAATCAAGCATAGTTTGAGCCCCCCTATACAGGAGCTTCGGACACTATAAGATCAGGTATTTGGGGTGCAAAATACCCGGCGGCGGACCTTCGGTTTCTGGTTAATCAGGTATTGGCACGTAGGTTTCAGCAAAGTGAAGTTCTTTTCTGAGAGAGGGATCTCATGCTACCTTGCAGAAGTTATCGCCCGTTTTAAGGCCCGCATAGACAAGGTAAAGCCGTTCATGGAGGAAATTTTGGCTACGGAATTGGAGGAGCGTGAGCTGAATGCGGCACAGGCGCAGCTGGCGAAGGCGGAGAGTCTGGCGCTGCGTGACGGTGCGGAGGCGTCCGTCACCAGACCAAAGCGGGTCAACTGGTTCTCAGAGAAACGCGATGCGAAGAGAGGTAGGTCTCGGGCCCTGTTTTGCCGCCTCTTTTGTCACGCTATTGATTATTTGCAAAGTCTCGTCCCGTTTTACCGTTGCAACTCCCCACATGCTCTCTCAGCACATAATGCAAGCGTTGTGGGTATTTAGGAACTGCGAAAATCTACTTTAACAAGTTTTTGTACAACCCTTTCAATTCTCTCTTTCCCAGCAAAACGAACCAAAGGAGGTAACAAGAAGGGGCCCAACAAACGGCATCGCAAGGAGTGACCTGTCACCTCAAGTAGTGATTATCGCACAGCTGGCATACCCTACCGCCTCATGTATAAGCAATGTTTAAATATGGGACTTGACGTACTCTCTACTTTGGGGGATACCGATCTAAACTGATTACTACACCTGGTTGTTTAGCTGTGGATACATTCGACTGAGATAAATCTTAAATGTAGGCAGTTTCTCGGTTACTGTTTCATACGACTTTAATTTTGGTTGGTAAATACCAGTGATAATCCAATTTGAGAAGTTTGTAGGAAACAAAGCAGTGATATTTAAAAAAAAGGGAAGTTCATATCATGAGGGTCAGGGGAGAATCTTTTCTACAAAAGGCTGCAAAATACACGTGTCTGAGGTCTGGGGCCACCGGAATTCTGCACTTTCAAACAGCTCGTCTGGGAGCTCGTGGCGTTCGTAGAAGCTGGCTTGAGTGCCGTGTCGCAGGACCGACTGACTGGCGATCCAGACGGATCGACGTAGCTTCTCCACGATCGTGATCTCGGGGTATCGGGCCATGTAGAAAGCTAGAGAGCCAGCAAAGCAATCGCCGGCCGCAGTGGTGTCGACCACCTTCGAGTAGACTGGACAGCGAATGTGAAAGATAGCCTTGTCACTGGTTATCAAGTCCGACTTCAGCATAGTTACGTCGTCGGCGCGAGTAGAGTCGCCCTCACATTTGGGCAGCAGACCGACCACTCCATTGGCGCCAAGGGTGACCAAAGGGTAGGTTACACCGGCCTCTTCCAGATGCAAGAGCCACTCCAGGGCCGACTCAGCAATCTGAAAGGAGCTTTTCCCCACAAAATCAGGGACGGGAATGCCTGTAAGGACTGCCGCCTCAGTTTCGTTGGGGCAGACCATCGTCGACGCTTCCATAAAACGTTTCAGTAAAGGAAGAAAAGGCGAACCAGGATTTGGAGCGGGAGCAGGGTCCAATATTGTAACGAGACCGCGCTTCTTTGCTTGTTCTAGTGCATAAAGCGTTGCCTCGGCATTCGACTTAAAATTTGAAGGAACAGTGTCACTACCATCATGTTTGTGTGCAATGACGTTTACCCCTCAGAGGGGGACTCACCTCGAACTGGCATCCCATCACTTTTTTGCTAACGAGTCCCTTACTATGTGCCTCCTCAACGTCATCAACTGAGATTTCCTCATTGGCCCCAGGAATTACCACAATGTTGTTGTTTCCGTAATCCCGCTCCACAGTAATAACCGCCACGCCACTATTAGCAGTATGACTTATTTTTATGGTGTCTTTTGAAAACAACAATTTCACGTCAGCAACGCTGCTAGTACATTATCTGTCCAATCAACAAAGTGATATACCTGTATAAACATGGTCAAACTCAGCCACCTACCTGTCTCTACACCGACTCTTTTCAGGTATTCAATATAGTCTCTTCCAAAGTAATCATCACCTACCTTTAATGGGGCATGAGGAGCAATTTGGTACATACTCGTGAAACAAGGGAGGTTTTGGCACCAAGCTTTCTCGCTGCAACACACTGGTTGGCCCCCTTACCTCCAAATCCAATCGCGAACTTTGCTCCAACTATTGTCTCACCAGGAATGGGGAATTTATCTGTGTAGCTTGATAAAAGGATGACATTGTCTCTTTAGGCTTACCACATAAGATCCGTGTTAATTGACCCAACAATCGTGACTTCCATCATATGTATCTGTCTGAAAAATGAAACAGCCGTGGGTTCACTCAAGTGTCCTTAAGGACGTTGGCACCACGCTACCACATGGACTTCAAAAAACAGTTGGACTGCAGATGTCCAGTGGCAAATCGTCTACCAAATGCTACTAATGACAGTGAGGCACTGCATGTGCAAGGTAAGACTCGCAGAGATAGCCGGAAGGGATAACAAATAAACGGTTTATTCTGTCGCCTACTGAGATGGGGGATGCCCATAAGAAACTTAAGTAACTGTAGCTCAAGGCATATTACAACTGTGGTAATGCCAGATGTCGAAGAGCAGTGAAAAAAGGTGTTGTACACTTAAAGACTGACCAGAAAATTGCTCTGGTTAGAAAAAGGAAATCCGAAATGGACTCAACTAAAGTAGGCCAGGAAGCTCACAACCCACGCGGCCACTGAAAGTGAAACCAACCTATTAGATGAAAAAAAACTATAGCAGAAGCTTGAACGAAACCACCGCATGTGAAGTGTAGGTTTCCTAATAAACTATAAAAAGGTGTAATTATTGCGCATGGGTAAGCAAGTTTTTACGATCGAGAATATCACGGTGTAAATTTAAAAGTTTTAAAAATTCTCGTCATGTCGTTCGAGAGTGCAAAACTCAGTAGATTTGATAGATTCCTGTTATTTGGAATCAGAAAATGAGGTTCATGTTACATTTGTGGCCCGATCAAAGGATTTTCTAAACAAGTGATTGGTTTCTCAATGTTATAACGGAATTTTATCGCATCTGATTGGTTTTTAGCGCAGCTAATGCCTTACAACAATGGAGGGAAAGCTGTGAAAAATTTTGAAATCATGCAGTATAATAATCCGTAAAAAGCGTATCAAATACACTGGCAGTACCACTTTAATTCATACTCGATTAATACTAAAAATCGCGACCTCTGCTTGCACAATTTTCCAAATATTCACTGCCTGGGTTTTGTTTTAAATTTATCGATCTTAACAATTGCTCACTGCATCCTTGTTTTAAAATACGTTTGTGGGGGTGGCGTCGGCTTTGTTGGTGTGTTATCGATTAGGTTGATTTCTAGGTTGAACCTGTTTGGACTTTGATGTTTAAAAGGCTCCTTATGAGTTATATTCTTTATTTTTAGTCAATAAACAGTTTTTTGTCCCCAGTCACTCGCCCAAATTAAGATGAATTACGCAGAAGATCAATCACTTATTGAAAGTGAGAGGGAGTTTGTTGAGTTCCTTGATGAGTCTGTTGGTTTTCATTATTCTTTTTATTGTAAAAACTTCAGGATTTTTACAGGGGTCGATTAGTCAACATGATAAGCGACGGAAAATCGCGCTTAATTATCAGCGTCAATGACCTCCGTCGCGAGAATCCTAAAAGGACTGAACAGTAGTCAAAGATCGATTTCTTTTATTTAAGGTTAATTTCCAACGCATTCGCTGAACTGCTTGCATGTCAGCGCGCCCTCAAAATCTGTGTACAGAATATTAATCCAGATTACGCCCATAGAAACAGCGACTTCTTCGTTGGTTTTGAGGGGAGGTAGGTCCTTTTAGGCTCTCATTTATGCTTAGCTTTGGATCAATGCATGTTTCGCCACGGACTCTTACCTCTGCTCTCTTAGGGCATATGGTGTGCGTGGAAGGAATAGTAACTAGAGGTTTGTTTTGGTGATGTGACCAATTTTTGTAGCATCTATCGTTCGTCCCAAGATCACGTGCAGCGTTCATTATTGTTCAGTCACAAAAAAGACTATTGAACGTCGATACGCTGATATGAGCAGTTTGGATGCTTTCCCTTCTGCTGGTGCTTACCCAACTAAGGACGAAAATGGTAATTTACTGGAAACTGAATATGGGCTCTCTACGTATCATGATCATCAAAAAATTACCATTCAGGTAATGTCCTGTTCAGAATTTGCAGCGTTGGCTGTAGGAAATGCCAGAAACGGCGCCAGCCGGCCAGCTGCCTAGGTCCGTCGATGTTCTTTTGGACAACGACCTAGTTGATTCTTGCAAGGTAATATGGTTTATATCACGCTCACTTCCCCTCTTTCATCAAATATCTCTTCAGGCTGGTGATCGAATTCAAGTTGTCGGTCAATTTCGCTGTCTTCCTGGGAAAAAGAATGGTTATACTTCCGCCAGCTTCCGCACGGCTCTGATCGCGAATAATGTTCAACTCTTCAGTCAACAATCGGAGCCTAACTTTTCCGACAAAGATATCGGCATGATGCGGCTTATTTCTAAGCGTCACGTTAGTTTAGTTTTTAATACCAGATCCTTTCGAATGTTATCAGTTATACTTTCGAGGAATTTTATAGGATATCGTAGATCTTCTTGCTCGTTCTTTGGCACCTTCCATCTACGGTCACCGCTATATAAAGAAGGCGATACTTTATTTGCTCCTGGGTGGTGTGGAGAGAATATTGCCAAACGGTTCGCGTATAAGAGGTGATATAAACGTGCTCCTTTTGGGCGACCCCTCGGTTGCAAAGTCCCAATTTCTCCGTTTCGTCCTTCATGTCGCCAATCTGGCTATCCCAACTACTGGCCGTGGCTCTTCAGGAGTCGGTTTGACCGCTGCTATTACCACTGATCATGAAACTGGTAAGTTACTTAACCGTAACATCGCTTACAGTTGACTCAACTTGTTCGGTCTTCGAACTTGCTCCATGTTTAAAGGCGGCGCAGTGTTAGTCATCTGCTATGAGACAATTGTCTTTGTATATCAGGGGTCGAGTAGCCAGTTTTACTAGAGTACTTGAGGTATCATTAAATAACTATTGCTTCCTTCGTATTTATTTTCCATACAAGACGCTATGTCGTGAATAGCCCCGTCAAAATGTTTACTTTAGGTGAACGCCAGTTGGAAGCCGGTGCCATGGTCTTGGCAGACCGCGGTATTGTCTGCATTGATGAGTTCGATAAGATGTCTGATATTGATCGAACGGCCATCCATGAGGTGATGGAACAAGGCCGTGTGACGATCGCCAAGGCTGGCATTCAGGCCCAACTCAATGCAAGGTGCTCGGTGTTGGGTGCCGCCAATCCCGTCTACGGCCGCTATGATCAATACAAAACACCGATGGAGAACATTGGCCTGCAGGTAGGTAGCTTTGTCCTCCCATTATAGTTAATTGATTATGCCTGTAAAGTTTGGGTTTTTTTCCTATAAGGGTTTTTTGCAATCGTGTCCCGCAGTATCCTTTCAGTTATATTTGTGAAATCTGATGTTGACTTCTAAAAGTATGGGTGCAGTGTTATCTAGCTCGTGTTTGATAATTTGAGCCACCTTGACCTTGCTCTATTTGGCTGTTGTCTCGCGGTTTAGACGGCTCGTTTATGTTTATTGCTACTTAAAACTAACCAGTACACCCTATAGTTTTCACCTAACCACTACAGGACTCGCTGCTGTCGCGATTTGATCTGCTTTTCTTGGTGCTGGATAAAGCAGATCCTGAAGGTGATCGTGGAATTGCCGAGCACGTTCTTCAAGCTCATCAGTATCGCACTCCAGGTGAGCAGGAGGGTGAAGCTATGCCACTGCAGGATATCACCGTACATCTTGCCACCTGCAACATGGACCCCAATATGGTCGGAGGCGCTGCTGGTATTGACGCTGAGGAGCATCGTAAGGATTCAGCTGACCAGGTGTTTGAAGATCAGGGTGGTGTCATTAGTAGTGGTAGAAGTTTAAAAAACACGTGAGTTACGTGAAATCTCCTTGACCCGTTTTTTTGGCAACCTATCCACCACCATCAGTAAAGCAGATGTTGAGAATAAGCGCAATACCGTTGTGAGTAGCTGTAACGTGATTCATTGCAAGTGACTGCTTACTTGATGGCACGACTGTTTTACTGCGCAAAGCCAGAATTACTTTTTTTAATCTATAGCATTCCTTATTTTGTACTCTGTTCAGTACTATCTTCAAAAGTGGAACTTTCCCTTGTATGATGTTGTACACAAACCAACTTTGGTTATAAGTGCTTGTTTTTAAGTTATATCTGGTGTGTGGCAAAATACGTGTTTTTGGTTACTTTTGTGTCATACGTTCATTTTTAATCCTTGAATACACAGTGATCAATGCCAGCATGAAAATATAGTAAGCTTTTCCTGCACAGGGAGTGCTTTACAATAAGCTTCCTAAAGAAGTACGTTCATATCGCCCGCCAGTTGCGGCCCCAATTGAGTAAGGAGGCTGCAACCATCATATCAGAGAAGTACTGTGATTTAAGAATGCAACAGGATGCCGAAAATTCGACCTTGCGTCGCACTCAGCCTGTCACTGCTCGTACGCTTGAGACGCTCATTCGTCTGGCCACGGCAAATGCCAAGGCTCGCATGTCAAAAACTGTCACTAGGATAGATGCCGAGGCCGCCGTGGAGTTGATTTCTTTCGTTCTCTTCAAGGTAAAAATGACATCCAATCTGTCTGTTTTAGTTTATCAGAAGGTTGTCGCGTTCATACGCCTTTTTAAATGGTGTTGCTGAACAAAACGGGAGATTTGAACGTTTGCTAAAATTAAGTTATACCGTTTGCAGGAGGTATTGGAAAAGTCCCGTCGAAAAAGACCTCACACCACCGAAGGGGATGGAGGCAGTGGATCTGGGCTGGATACGGGTTCCAATGAGGAGACGGAAAACACGATACATAGACCACGTAAAAGGTTAGTTTAGCGCATTTTTTCTTACCTTTTGGGCTCTTATTGTAGACTGTTGTGTGGTTGATGAGTGTTTCGCTTTTAGTGGCATTTCTCAGATTTCTTTTAATTGAGGCTGTTAGCCACATTCCATCTCTAATCTTCATTTTGATGATTCTTGCAGCATCTAAGCACTGACTGCTAATTCAATCGATTGTGCACATCTGGGTGCAAGTGTAACCATGTTCCCATTGTCTTCGGTGTCTTCTTTGGCTAGTTAATTAGGCATGTATCTATTTGGCAAGGGGAGAGGGTGTGTGCATGTGGGCGGGTGGACGAGGAGTGATAGGCCGTACCGCGTTCCTCCGCCCCCATCCAGTGGTGAAGGTGGGTGATACGTAATGGCGAATGTGCGCTTGTGGGTAAACGCGGGTACAGGCACTCATGGAGGGTCAAAGTGGAGAAATATGCCTTATGTAGCGAATGTTCGCTTACTCCTTTTAGGCGACAAGAAACATTGTGAAATGTTTTCTTCCACTTTTTGGGGTATGTGTACACGCGTTTTTTTCTTATGCTTCTCCTTTTCTCAAGGAATGTGGAACATTATTCTGGGCAAAAATCAACCCAGGTTGCCCGTTTTTTAATAAGGGCAAGTCATTCTGCAAACAGCTGAACTGAAATGACAGCCGGTTTGATTGTCTCAAGTGAAAGCGGGTTTTCCTGTTGCATTGTAGTTTATTGAGCATTTCAATATTTACTAATTTGTACTTGTCCATCGAAGGATTCATTGTAAGCAAAACACCTTTACCCTACCCATCACATACAATGTGTAAATCAGCCGAATAAAGTGCTTTTTTGCGCATTTTTAGGGCAGCGACGGCGGAGGTTGAGTCGAGAGCTTTCGAGTCAACGTCGGGTGGTAGCGGCGGTGACGCCTGTGCCTTTGATGAGGCGAGGTGTGGGAAACTTGGTCTAAGTGGAATTAAACTTCCAGAGTCGCGCCTCCGCATGCTCTCAACTCTTGTCTCTCGGGCCTTCCAGGAGCGTCGTGTTGAACAGCTCGCCATTCCAGAGGCACGTCTGTAAAGTAGCCGTATCTTGTCCACTTATAACTAGTTTCTGACTACTCACCTCTAGAAATGGTATTTGAAACGATACACTTGCTGTTATCCCTCAGGCTGTCTGCTTTTCCTCCCTTTTATATCACTACCGTTATTTGTGCATATATTTGTACACACATAGGTGAGCATTCGTCCATGAAGTGGTTTAATAGCCTAGGAGACAATAGGAATGTCTGTTGTAATTACTCTTAACCCAGCGCCACAAAAACGTATTCAGTGTAGCGAAAAATAACGTGCATAAGCTACAAATATCTCTGCAGTTATTGGAGGTTAGGTGAGCATGGGAGAGTGCTGTTGTAAAGCGGGTTGCCCTCGCTTTTATACTGTTTTCATCACACGACAGCCATTTGATGCGAGCTGCAAGGGGTAAATTCTTTCGACTGCTATGATTTTAACTTCCTGTCTCCTGGAAAGCGACAGTGTGTTTGAAAGGGATGGGTTGATAAATTTCTTACTTGTTCTATAGGTCATTGCCTTCGTTATGGTGCAAACCTCAGAGTTCACGCGCTCTGAAATTGTGGCTGGATTGGACGCGCTACACAACAGCAACCGTATCATGGTTACAAACGATGATGTCTGGTTAATCTAACGACTAAGTACGTCCGTGATTTGATGCTTCACATCGTGTGCGCTGTCAGTTGCATTTATATTTTGTGTGAAACGGGTATGCTAAGCCTTATACTATTGAATAGTAATAATAATAAAACTAATTTGTTACTACTCATATTCTCCGTTTATCACAATGGGTTAGGGTAGCGATGCTCTTTAGTGCCAGAAGCCCTCGCCTAGAACACTAATAGGGTTCTAGTGTTCTCCCTGGGGCTACTAGTGGCTGCTTTCATTTTAAGCGTACCTGGCAAAGGTCAGGACATCGTCTGCTTTCTCAAGTCGATTTTAAGAATATCTAACACTACAACAGGTGAGGTTTAGTGCATGAGTCAGCTCCGAAGACTACAGCTTTCGGCAAAAAGTACTGAATGTAGAACATCTGGAGGGCCGATGGCATAATTGACATGGTCAGAGCGTCGAGCCACCGGGATGTTGATCGAAGCCCAAGTGCTATGAAGTGTGCATAGTTAAGTCAGGATAGGTGTCCCCCTGTTGTGTACTGCTGATATTTTAACGCGCCTAGTTCCAAGTCTCTGCATTTCTGCATTGATTTGCCGTAAAGCTGTGCATTGACTTATCCCCCGTCTTTCCATTATTATTGATCCTCTTTATTTTTTCCGATTGGAAGCTGTTTTTATAAACTGGGCACTTTTTTTCATGCTAATCGTAGATAGCAGGTAGAGAGTTTCACGAAAAGGCGTGACTTCCGTTTGGATTTGAATCACTCCATCGCCAAGTGCCTTAAGATATTGATGTATTTCAAGCCAAGTAGTGATGGTCTATTGCTGGGCGCCTTTAATCTAACAGATACAGAGAAACAAAGTCTGGTCATTGCTTGCAGAATTTAGTCTTATTCTCCTTATGCAGAGATCAAAGTAAGCACAAGACTTCATTCTGAAGCAGGCTTTCGAATGATGCAATTTCACTCTCCATGTACATAATGTAAAAAGGTGATTGGTCTACTGTAAACACCATTCAAAGAAACATCGGATGTAGTAATTGTTTCTTCCACTTGGGCTTCATGGGCTAGGTGCCACCCAGCAGGCATCGGGGACGAAACTTGCCAAACCAAGGGGAAAGATAAAGCCGTGACCCCGGCTGGCACGTGCCCAACTGGCTCCTGTGGCCCGGTGACAGTTTGGGGAGGGAGAGGAGAGGGAGGAAGTGATGATTTGCGCCCACATGCGATTGGGCACGCAACGTCGAAATATATCAATCAGTGTTGGGTCGCTGCGATTTATGAGCGCCAACACCCTCGCCGTCAACTTACTAATGGAATATTCCACTCCCCCATCCTCCCCTTTCCTTTGCCGGCCTAGAGACCGGGCACGCGTCAGATGAATCATGGGCAGGTCAATTACCACAACACCTTATTGCACGAACGTGGAAAAGTTTATTCTGAAACTAGTCTGCAAGTATGTTTTCTAAGTTTTATGGCCTCACCCGCAGTGCGCCAGGTGATTAATAAGTAACAAAAAGCAATCGCTGTGATTCCACGTCACTACCTTATTCAAAGAGAGGTATACACATTTCCCTCTCTCTTTTGTCCATTGAAACCCCAGGTAAGGCCTTACTACTAGTAGCTCGTGCTTTACCTCGGCCAAATGCATGCTGGTAATTGGAGCCCTCTTCGGTATAGCTTGATTTATTGACTTCATAATAAAGCCAAAACTCGAATGTATTCACCAGTGTTCTCGCGTTTACCAAAATACCGATTCTTTTCCCTCAAATCAAGTACCGATAGTCGTTGCTGCCACTGTTTTTCAGAGGCCTTTGGATCCTTTTCAAGCGCAAAGACACCTAGTCTCACTAAATGCATTTTGAGTATAAAGGATTGCAAATTCGGCTCGACTGTAGGCGATTTTGAGTTGTTAAGAGGAGAGAAGGCTGACTATACTGACAGCTCCTGTCCACTTACCATACTGCGTGTTAGGTGCGAACATCCACGTATAGTCTCGCATAAATAAGTTAAATGCTAATATCCGCCGCTGTCAATCAGTCATTTGCAGTAAACCAAAGCCGGTCATGTCCATTTACGATACATGCTTGTCAAAATCAACTGTCTTGTAAATAGATTGAGTTATCTTGTTCAATGTGAAGCAAATTATAAGCAAACCCAACACCACCACCTATGTAGGCATGTAGGTAAGGCACTGGGAATTTAGCTTTAATCGACTGTTTTGATCGAGAATAAAATAACTTATTTCTCTTTGCTAAAATTATGCAACTAAACAGAGAAATTAAAGGTAAGACCTGTTAACTATCAGTTTGCGGCACTAGGACCTGGTAATTATGCGCTGTAGTGTGGTTCCAAGTGGTCCCTTTAGGCCAACGTAGACCATTTTCCGTTGTTCAGGATAGAAGATCTTGCACTAGTCTTCACCCATCACTCCAAAAAGCGAACTTTATTCTGTTGGGGCACCTTGATATTCTAAGTTAGTGACTTCCCGACTTCTTTCCTTTTATGTTTCAAATGAGTCTCGACTGAGGCTCCATTCCTAAGGCAACTGAAACTCAGTATGCACCATAGTTTATCCTAGGAAATTCAAAAAATGTGTTTGGATGGACAGCAGTTTAGCCTCATTAACATGCTTCATGTCATTTTTTGAATTCTCCTGGCGTGTCTGTCTTGTTACGTTTAGTGTTCTTCCATGGCGAAACAGTGTGGTTTAGAGTAGGGGGGGAGCTGGGTTTTATTGTTGCTGGCATCCACAAAATAAACAGTCAGAAGTTAGCATAAACATCCTATTAAATTTGCGGTTTCACGCACCAAGGCGCCGACACCTACCCTCAGTGCCTCATCGCACACCACCAGACCAGTAATGACCACAACAACAGAAGCAACACAAACGTGGGCCACCAAACGCATCTTCGATACCGATGGGTTCTATCGTCCAGATTGGCAGGAATCAATCATATTCGCTTATTTTGCGCGAAGTAAGCAAGGAACTGCAGTCACTGTTTTCGGTTGAGTGGGAGAAAAAGCTTGAATACGAGATCATTTGTTTCCATCGAAAACTGGACACACTTGCTGCCTTTTTAAGTGTTACAAGTAAATACAGAGGTGAGGGAAATCAAAGAGGACTTTTAGTAGGTTTTTAAGCATGCACATATCAAAAGAGAGGGAAGTTGACTTCAAGCCAGCTTAAGAGGTCATGTGTAATTTGTGCATACCCAAGCATGTTTATGAGTCCAACATCACCTGAACATGGATGCCATCAATGATGATTCCCGTCAGTCCACCATTTGGCAATAATAACTGGTACCAGTAATTTTATTGTCGCTTTCTGGACACCATACCTTTCGGTTATATAAAATTAGTGTTTTTCGGCAGCAAAGTGATCATATTTTGAGTCCAGCTTTGCAAATCTAGAGAGAGTAAATTAAATAAATTAGTAAATAGTCCCTTAACAGGATAATTTGTTTCTAGTATTTACAGAAGTTTACCATTTGAAGCAATACGTAAACATCCAAATAAGCGCGGCGCAAGAATCGTCCAAATAGTTGGTGCGCTGTCTGGAAGCACCCATAAGAGTCAACATTCGAGAGGACTGATCGGGTTATAGCTTTGCTAAATAGGATTTGAAATCGCGTTTGACACGGTATTTGGATGCGCACTAAAACCGAAGGACTCGTTACTGGTCACTCCTGCAACGTAGCTAAAGTGCAAAAACGGTGACTTTGTTTAATGCCTGTAAATCGTGCAAAAGAAGATTAACCGATAGCAACGCACTAGTTCACTTCTCCCACTTCGGAATGATCAAATCAAAGTGAAAATAGCAATGACAGCACCCCTCGTAAACCCTTCTTCTAAATCGCTTAGATATTGTTTAACTTCACTTGGTGATGTGTTCCTTATCGCCACTCAACACCTTGGATTATGTCGACTGCTAAGTAAAAACTAGTCGATGTATTATCTTCCTTTGAAGGAAATTGTGAGTAGAGCGATTGGTAATTTGTAAATATTTGTTAAGAAGGTAAGCTTAGCCAGCCACCTTTCGGGAAGTGCTACCACGGTTTTAAAATTTCACTCTAAATCACTTGTTACGATCTCTGGTTTTAACAATAAAGGTTGCTACAAAGTCAGGAATGAAAATTGTAGTTAAGGTAATCAAAAGCAAAAAAAGCATTCAATGCTATCTTGACTTCCAATTTTTCGAGGGGAGTTTGGTGGATCATTAAGCTAAGGACTTTTTCAAACCAGCTATTCCTACTTTAAGCCCTAATTTTTAAGCAAAATATATCGTCGGTTTTGAGAGGCCTTCATTGCCATCTCTATTCGAGGTCTTAAATGTATAGGTATATACAACTCGATAACCTTGTGATAGTGAAAAACAATAGATAGGCAGGGCCAAAACAATGCTTCCAAAATAATGAGATAAAACTCCTTTATTGCTGTAACGCCACGGAAAGAGATGGTGCTGGTGGAGGTGGAAGTGAAGGTGGAGGAAGCACTAAGGCATGTGTTTGCCGAAAAAAGCCTAATGGCCACCCATCATGGCGTCTGGGCGGGAAAGGAGAGGGGGGTTGATGCTGGAGGAGGGAGTGAAAGAGGGAAGAGAAAAGGCGGGGGGCGGAAGCGGAGGAAGAGGAGGAGGAAAGGAAAAGAGGAGGATTATTTAGTGAATATGATTCACTCCTTCTTTTCCTCACTATCACCACCACCACTGACACAGCACACCACGCCACAAAGCATTTATTGCAGCAAAAATAAACCACTAAAAACCACCGCTAGGAGTCGCATCCAACGCATCCAACAAGTGCTGGTTTCGCTAATTGAGGGCTTTTTGTGCAGGTGGGAGAAAACGAGAGGCAAAACACCCTTTTTTTGGTACCCGTTGATCTGCTTGTAATTAATAAGTTTTCGCACATGCCCTTTGCGCGGTAATATGAGGGAGGCCAGAGGGCAGTACAGGAAACGGGCAAATGTCGTTTAATTTGACAAAAATGTGCACACTAATCGCTCTCCGTTAATGATTACACTTGCACAGTAGAAGGCTATTTACCATGAATCACATTAGCCAAAGACTCTTTGAAGCATTGGGTAATGTTACTAGTGGTTCGCTATTTCGCTCGTAAAGTCTACAGCAGTAGCGGCATATCATCAGCCCCAAAAGCAATCAATCGCTTTCCGTAAACTTCAAGCAGCACCATATGTTTGTACTGACTTTAGCTATTATGCTGCAGCATCTGGTTATGTAGAAGTACGATTATTTGCCATATAAAAGCTAATACTGGATTCGTTTAATAGATCCTCTGGTAGTAGAACCGTGATCTTTTTCGCTAGTGATTTGAAAGTCGTCCTTGACACCAAACAAAAAAATGATCAGTAAAATCAAGTTTTACGATTTTCTTTTACAACATTAAGTACTACAATAAGTGTGCATGTGTTTGTGTGCCACGACGCTTATTGATAAGCTTATAAGGCTTCCAAATTTTACCTGTTCTTACTGGTACGGATATATTATAACATAGTAGATGAAAATAAAATAAATACGAAATGCGCAGATAATCGGACTAAGTTTATTGATGAGGGAAGTGAACAGCTAAGAACGCAGATTTTAAGGTACTTTGTGAGTACATGTTACAAAAGACAGTTGAGAGAATTTCGTGATGCCATTTTTGTAAGGTGCTTTTTGTAGGGTCGTCCACTTGGTGGGCCTGACAAACGATGCCAACAGTGGGCGTATTTCGATTGTCAGATAGCCCCTCTCTACGTGTGCATGCATCTTGTCAATCTCGAGTGACGCGGTGAATATGTGTGCGGCAAATACACAAACCCTGAGGTTGTCTCAATGCCCGCCTCAGTGCGTGTATTGAGGTGTTGGTGTGTGTACAGTCGTCGTCGGTGGTCCCAATCCCGAGCTCTTGTAAAGGAATAAACAGGCCTCCTCCTCCACCTTTCACACACGCATACACTGGCCGGCCACCATGTCCCACACGGTTACACAATGCCCCATGCTCTATTGTAAAGGAATTGTCTCCATGCTCTTCATTAAGATGTTTTACGATGTTGTACAAATGGTTTATTAAGCAAGAAATTATTCCTCTTTCTAGAGGGCCTTTACAGAAAATGTAAATTATCATTTTCGATGCATAAATTGGAACCCAAAGCTTGTATAGCTTGTATCACTCCAGTTGCACCTGTGAAAAACGCACTTTGAATCCCCTAAGGCAGTGAATTTGGCGAGGCAGTCACGGTGCAACCGGCCGAGCTTATCGATGACCCAACCACAATTCCCATCACCTCGTTCCACTCTCTCCCCCCGGCTATCGTCGCACCCTCACGCCGACCCCTCGCAGTTGCACCCTTGTCAAAGCGGTGTCCCGGGTTCTCCACAAACTAATGTTGCGGCGCAGGCAAACGTGTCAGCATCACAGCAGTAATCGATGCCACTTCGGTCCAAATAATGCATTGCTTTCTTAGACACTGCTTTTTAAGACTTACGCAAAGTAAATGCTTGAGACTGGAAAACGTGTGAGTAAAAAGTGGTCTGCTAGAAGGGTTCATATGCTCTTGAAATAACCTATCGAATTTCTCTTAGATTCCTTGAGAACGGTGCCTAGCCCATTGTGCAGTTGCCCTTGATAGGGATCGTGTGTAATTAAAGTATGTGGTAGCATGAATTGATCTTACTTCTGGTATCTTTCCACACTCACTGACATTTTAGCCAAATATGAACTCATCTGAGTGCCGCAGCTGGCGAGCTGAGTCTGATTAAGCGCTTCTTTTCATTCCTGCGTGCATACGCTCTGACACTACGTCACCCACTGAGGGTGAGCTGCGTAATTCTATGCCTACAGTAGATACTACCTCCGTTTGGAGACAAGTGCACATTATTTTCCGATCAATCGGATACTAAACTCTCTACACTTTTCACCCACTAAGTTAGTAGTATTATGTTAAAGTGGTCCATCACATTATGATAATCGGTGGGAGCTTTTTTGTAGTATATTCTGCTATTCTTCAGATTGTTTGTTTGAAGTACATTGGTGTTAATTTTTCGCTTTTACTTTGATGATGTGCATTCCACTACCGAACGGTTGAGGGGACAGGTGGATTTGATTTGCTGGACTTGAATGCGAGCTCCGAGCTTTACGTGTGGTCCTCAAGCAGAGTTTTGAAGCAGCAAGCAGTGTGGAGGGGGTAGTGAGAAGCTCATTTCACTACGTCATTGAGTGACAAGCTTTCTCTTTTTCAATGAGATGGATGTGGAAGATAAGACCACCTGAATTCGGTAAATGAGTGAAATAGCGAGCAAACACTGCTGAATTAAGAGACTGGTTTAAGGTGCGTCGCTTCTCACGATAATTCCGGCCTTAATAAAACAAATCATGTGCTTTCTCAAAGGGCCTATCTGGGTCAACTGATTTCAAGAGGAGAAACGAATAACCGTGAGCTTTAAACCGATTTATTAAAGCCTCAAATGGTAGAACTTGTATGATTTTACGATGTGAACTTTGCGGAATTTAAAATTCGTGCTTGAGACTGAAACTTCTACTTCAGCAAAACTCTGCGATACAATTAAACGGTAAATTGTGTTTAATCTCTGGGCGTGAGTACCTTTCGAATTAACTAAGACCTGACCAGGGGCTCCAACAAAGTTTCGTAGTTGATTGGCGGAGCAAATTGCTTCTTGAATTAGTATTTTAAAGTGTATAGGATTGAAAATATGTCAGCATTACTCATCCTTCATAAAACATAATTCGTATTTGCAAACTTTATGAGGGATATGTCCAATTAATACCTGCAAAGCTTTTTGGTGTTCACTAATGGAAATACCGAGGATTCACAATGTCAGAACCTTTGGCGGCAGATTCGGTAATATATGATTAGATCATTTGAAGTTTTGCTTGAGAAAGTAAGGATGTGGTTACTTGCAACAAAAATATTGGACTTCTCAAATAATAACCCCTTTCCTGATATGATTTATGGGTGATTTACTACATGCCCTGTTCCAGTGTTCATCCTCACCATAGCCAGAACGTCAATCAGTAAGCTAATAACGGTAGGAAAAAGTTCGGAATGCCGGCTAACCAACTCCTCTGGTTGACTATTAGTACGATTTCATTGGTATGAGGGGCAACACTTGCTATTTCCTGCTACTTAAAGTGAAGCCTAGGTTTCATTTCGGTCTCATTATGCACCATTCTCGCTTGAGGACGCCACAAAATTAGGAACTATGTCGTCTCCTTTCAGAGACCGCCACCAGCAGTCTGCTCTACTAGAAAAGTGGTGGGTTCCTCGTGAGCCAAATGAACTACTGCAGTAGCAGTAGCGATTAAACTCCAAAACATCTTGATGCTGCACCTTGACTGAAGAGGCTGCTACATGTGTGAGAAGTGCTGAGCCGGCTTTCAGTCGGACCTTTTTATTTGTATGTATGGCTAAGCTAGTTTAATCAATTCAAAGTTCAAGCAGATGTGATGTTTACCTTTCGTCCATCAACACGGAAGTTCTTTTTCATTTCATCTTTTGCTACCGATGCTGGGTATTTCAAGCTATATGTTACTCAAGTAGAGGCAAGGGACAATTAGGCCATGTGCATTTGAGCGGGGCTGTGTGTCGTGTCGGTTTGGGGGTGTGCTCGTGGGCGTGTGGGCTGTGTGCCTGCTCTGCTGCGTGTGCCACTTTGTCAACCACAAATCATGACTGTTCGTACCTCTTCTGCGTGAGCATCAACTGGATAGTGGCCAAACATCGAGCACACTTCAGCCCTCAGTTAGTTGACTTCCCGGCGTCTGTTGGGTGAGTTGGCTTGATTTTATCTTCCGCTTACATATTATTGTATTCGAGAAAAATTTACATACTTTGAATCACCTAGAGCATAATGCACAGGCACATTAATACCTCAGCATTATACACCAGTTAACATTTATTTTGCCTGCACCGGAATTTGGGCGCCATGTTAGGATGGGATTAAAGCCGGCACGCCTGAAATGCAGCGGTGCTTGAGTGCAGTCGGCCACTTCGTGGGAGATCTGAACCCTCTCTTAATGTTAAGAGTGATTCTGACTTATGTAATCAGTCAAACTTGATGTTCCTCTGGCATCATTTGGCAGTCAGTTTATCTGCGGATTAGGTCACAGCGAAAATCCACTGCATATTCAAGGCTGAAAACAGATTGTTCACTTTCTTATTAGATATAGTAAGGTTGACAATTTCTAAAAAAGTACGAAGCTGATACCAGTGTAAACCATATAATTGAGATTGCTGAGTTAAATTAGTTGCCATTCCACGTCAACGGACGAAAGTACACGAGGTAGCCACCATCAATGTTCACCAGTGTGCCAACCGTAAGCAATTGATTTGTGGCTATTCGCCTGGTCTTGAAAGTGCGAAAAGGCAAACTTTCACTAAATGCTAACTTTGGTACCGTCCATTCTGTGGCCAAACAGTGGCCATGAATAAACTTAATTATCATTTACAAATGTTTGGAGAACATTGTTCCTCATAAGCTTCCCGAACGAACTATGCAACGACACCCATGCAACGCAAACCTACACATTCGGTATTAAGTATATGCTGAGCTGATCACAGAGTAAACGGAAGGTGTACACTAGTCTTTGCTGCTTTCCCAAGTTCACTTTAGTTTCACATGTTCCATCGTGGCTACATCGAATCACGCGGTCAATTTAGTGCCAAATGATAGGAGAGGCTCCCTTATTTCAATGAAAAGGCTTTCCCGTGGTGTACTTTATAAAAATATGCTTCTATGTAGAGTTCTGCCGTACGCCAGTCGCCAACTTTCAGTAGCTTTAAGAATACAATAAAAGCATCAATGCTTCAAGCACTCCTAGTAAGACTCCAATGCTCGGAATCACTTCTGGGAAAAAATGCTTGTGCGTCATCATGGCATAGTCAAACCCTATGACGTTTCACCTCGGTTTTGTTGCTAGAAGAATACCATACTTACTATTGCCTATAATTAACTCTTCACTTATCGAGAAAGAATACAAAAATGCACACTTTTGAAAGAATTTCTTAAGATTACAGCGCAACCTTAACTTAAAAATCGGATGTTCCGCATCGACAGAATTCACTTAAATGTTCAGACTGTGATTGCAACGTAAAAAAACGCCTCTCATGGGAGATTTGACGGCTTTAGTGACATTTTTGATAAGGAGCTCCACCGCCTGCAAAACAAATCACACGTTTCGCCTAGCAGATAAGTGTGACCGAGTCAGTGCGTTTACTTGATGACAATTGACTGCTATCACTAGCCTTCACAAGCCGCGACTCCCAGTTGCGTGCGTCTACTCGATCACTCAAGTCTGTCACAATAGACGGCAAACGGCCAAACACATTGGCGGCCACTTTTTATCTTCATCGTTATCTTAGTGTGTTGACATTACATCGTACGTCATGCTGTGCAAAAAAAGAATAAGTTGGCTTAGTGCTTCTGAAGGCCTTATGTGTCACCGATTCTGAGATCGACGCTGGCGCCACCTATTGTGCAGGCCACTTATCAACATGTGTCAACTGCAAATTTGGCTGAAAATAAGCATATGTGTGCCCAGCACATCACTTCCTTTAAATTTTTTTGGCTACTGAAATGTTAAATATTTTTCTCTAACAATAAGCAAACTGAACTCTTGTCCTTTTTAACTTTGATAAAATATTTAAAATAAATTCCATTACGGAAGAGAGAGTTGGCCCTCATTTTAAATTTAGTCAGATGAATGGAGAAGTGAAAATCGGACAACCCTGTAGGTGTATGGGATGGTTGTCTGCTCTTATGTGACGTTGAGTGTGAAGACGAATCCATGTCCCGAACGGAGGGCCTTCCGTGGAGTTTACCCTGCGTCCTTCGCGAGCAGGCCTCACTGCTTTGTGCAGTTACCCTCGCAGTATCAACTCGCCGGGCATGTGTTTGAGGGCTCATGTGCAATTGCGCATGCGTGCTCGCTTACTGCCTTTCCGCATGTGGTGACACTGAGGTTAGGGTGAGGTTGGAAGGGTAATAATTTATCTCGCCAATAAGGACGTGTATGTGTGTGTTTGTGTGCTGAGATCACTCCTGTATCCAAGTTACCACAGAGTTATGTATGGAACCCGATACTTTCGTTCAATGCCCTTGCACGTGTGAGTTTGTTTGAGAATGCACACAGCGGTGCTAGGTGTGGGCAGTTAGAGGCGCATCAGATTCAGCCGATATCGATACATTGGGGTGAGGAACAGCCCATCCTCTCCTGCTCCTTCCCCCTCCCTCCCACCGTCCCTCTCTCATTCCTATCACATGGAACAGGATTTGTGCCTAATTGCGCATCTCAATTTCTATCGCTCCACTGCATTCGCCTGGTGATCACGCAATTTAAATTTTACCATTTTAATGGATAGTGCAACTGAAATTGTGGTTGTTTTAATTAGATTCTTGTTGTTAATGGTGCCAAGTTATATGCCTGTTAAGGTACACTTCAAATGCATGTCAAGCCTGCTCAAAACCAAATTTCATTAAAAATTATTCTACTAATTTCATTGCAAAGAGGGCACAGTTTCTTCGCTTTCTCAGAATTAGCATCAATGCGTTGTGTTTTCGAGCTCACGCCAATTTAAATAAGGCAATTTTAGTTTCCTCAATTTCCTCATTTCAAAACTCAAGTGGATATATACCTTTAACTCGTGTGCTGGAGCTGTTTTTACCCTTCAATAGCAAACTGGTTAGTCGGGAATTCAGTAATCGCACCTGATTAAGGCATTTAAGGGCTCGTTTTTCGTATTTGGTGCACCGTAGTGTCACTGCTTCGACAGCCAACCATGCGTTTGCGGCTATCTGGGATCAATCCCGCTCCAGAGCCTAACGTTCCTGACAATATGACTGATTCGGCTATTTTTACATTGGACCCTCACCTTGATGCGAACTATGGCAAACACATTGATTCAAAACTTTACTTTTGTTAAGCGTTTTTTGCGTGTGTGCGATCATACGAATTCCGGGTCATGCGATTGTCGTTAATTATGCATAATGTTCGTACCTTTTAATGAAAAGTAAGTAATTGTAATTCCCATGAGCCGCCTTACTGTTTATTAAAACTATATAAACAAAACTTGTTCCAGTTTGAGGAGAATACTCATCAAGTGCTTAATGGAATTCCTCTGATTCGAATATTTTGCTTTGTGCGCTGCATGTTTAAAAGGCAAGCTTTGTGCCGGCATCGGCAGTATCAGTGGCTTTACTTCGTACGTGTTTGTAACATTTACTTCTCATACACACCTCATGTAGGCATGGGTAGTGAATTCCTCACTTTTAGTCTATTTCCTAAGGATAATTTTTCTCAATGAAATGCTTTGTGGAAGCAGTGGTGTATGAGTAGATTTTTAGAGCTGGATAATGTGTGCAATTCCATTTGATTTCCCCTAACGCATAAAAGGCAACTGGCAAGCTTCCCCTTTAGCACCACCTAAGCATAAGAGTGGGGATTCGTTTGAAATTACAAAAGGGTTTTGTCACTATGGCCAAACTCACGCTGTAGAAGTCAAAGGTATTACCGATGTATGAGAGCAGCTTTTTTTGACAATCGCACCGATGTCTGCATGTACTAATAAAGCCATGGCTTCAATACGTCATTGATGTAATGTAATCGCTTGCTCATGATCCAAACCATGCTGTGTAGGGTTCTACTGGACATGATTTAATGATGATGAGTGCAGTACAGGAGGAGATGGAGAGTCGAAGAGTCGAAAACAATCGTGATTAGGATGTGTTTGCGTCATTAATGCTGAACAGCGTCAAACAGCCACTTGCAGCTTGTGTCTTGCCCACTTTGGAGTGTGTAAAGTCACAGAGACGTCGCACACACCTACCCATCCCCTCCTTACCATGGCATTGTACTTATGCCATCTCTGAACTGAAGACACGTCGCTGTGGGGAAATGGTGCATTATAACGTTTTGTAGAAGTTTGCGAGTGCATTGTATGCACTATTTCTCCGAGTTCAGTGGGTTAAGTAAGTACTTTTGCAGAAGTATAATGGAAATAGTTTCGCCTACATTTTTGTGCGTTATTCTAGCCAAACGCCTAGGGTACACCTTTCGTCTTAATGCACAGAATCATTCTAAAATAATCATTTTTCATTTTTCGCCCTTAGTTATTTCTTTTTATTCGTCTAGTCCTGTAGGCGCCAAGGGGTGCATTCTCGGGCTACTAGGCGATTTGTGTAATTATTTGGCGAATGGCGAGATTGAAACAAAGTCATAAAACTTTATTTGTTTCATTTCAAAGTGCTCATTGTAATGTCATTCTTTCATTCAACTCCTTTTTCAATGAGAAAAACTTTAGAACTACTGTGTATGGCACTGACTCACAGCAAGTATTCTTCGTCGTGAAGGCGATAAGTCTTTTGAAACGTGAGCTGAAACAGCGCTACAACATGTGAGTGTGAGACAGAAAGGAACGCATTTCTTAAGAATTTTATGCATTTGACATTAGGGTATTTTGATGAAATGACTGGAGAATAGGCGACATAAAGTGAATGCCAGCAAATGGCTGGTGCCTCTTACATTCCCCAAATCACCATAATATCCTTTGCTGATGTTTCAGCTAGTTCGGAGTCACAAGTTATAAACAACGCGCTGTCAATCAAATATAGCATGCAACATATCGGCCAAAAAAAATATTTACACGAGAACTGGTGTTGGATTCCAGAAGAAAAAAGTGCTTAAATAGGGACTGTCAATATATGTTGATCCTTGTGGTGATGGCGATCTAAGAGAAATGGCAACCGTCTAACACTACGTCTGCGTACCTTAAATGAGCTGTGCTAATGGACAAAAATCCGCTTATGCCTAACGGTGACTCTAATGATAGTTACCAAATTTAGGCCTCTCGAATAGTTTCAGTCTCCTCTGCCAAATGTTTGTGAAAATGAACGTTTGCAGTGATTAACCTTAGATTATAGATTTTCAGCATTTCTTCGACTTTACATCAATTGTGGTATGGGGTACTAGGTTTTCAAGATACACTGGCTCCTTCACTGTGGGCTGATTCACCATACCAGACATGTTAGAATACCCGTTTCAGAGGAAGTATTATTACAGCAAGGGAAATTCAGTGTTTCGCTTTGGCACTTAAGCAAACATTTAACTGTTGTTAAAATCTCGCTGTACACCGATTCTCTGTGGCTGTTCTGATTGAAAGGAGGTAACTAAAGCAAACACCGTTGGATTCGAATCCTGCAAAGGCTTTTCTTTCGCACAAACACAAAACACATTTTGCCAGATCCTACGATAATAGCACACATTATTATTAGCACACACGCACGCAGGCATGCAATTATATACATACATATATATGCATAGTAAACATATAATACACCATGTAAGGAAGTTGTCTTTGTTGGAATGCAATAATGAAAGAGAGATAAGAAGTAAATTAATCTCACTGATTTGTTGTTGAATATCAGTAAGGAGTTATTTATTACCAAATGTGGCATTAATTAAAGCAATTCTTTGCAGTTCGGGCAGGAAAGAAAGTGTATTTAAGCAGGAAAGAATACGAATAATTTCTCTTTCTGCATCCGAATTTCTCACGATTGAATGAACGCTCTTCATTGTTATACATCACAGCGGTTAGTATGACAGCCGTTTGGCGTAATGCTGAAAGTGCTACCTGACAAGGTGGAGAGAGATTGTGTTTGTATGAGCCGTACAATAAAGCGTCAACCTGCCAATGCTACGATATTATTTTAGGGTGACACAAAGGTCTGTCAGTTTTTTCACATCGGTGTTCAACTTCGTCCATGTACTAGTAAATTTTTCTGGCGTAAATTCGAGCAGTGGAGTTTACTCCCTGTAACAACACAATTCGCACCTTCATTCTAATCCAGTCATCCTTCCAGGTGCGTTAGAGCGAATCTAGACGTGTGCAGCTTCACCAAGTTCAATTCAACTTAAAAAAGGTCATCGCTATTTCCTAATTACTGAATGACCAATCTGTTTTAACGCACATGTTTCTCTCCCTTCTGAGTGAAACACACAACACCTGTTGATTGGCGAACGATAGCACCCATTCATCCGATATGAGTACCAAAGGTGAAGAGAACTTAATAGCTCACGGTAGACTGGAATATTAATTGTTAAACAACCACTTGGAAGGAGCAAAGGTCGGCCGATAATTACAAATTATTGCCATTATGTTACGTCATAATCGCTAAAAGAGCCTTGTAGATGCCATCAACTGAGTGAACTAAAGGTGGAAGAAAAAAGGGTTACAAATTGTGCCGACAACTGATCGTAATGAGGATATTTAATTTCTGGTATTTAAAATTCTGTCGTGCCACCTCTTAGAGAGGCAAAATAATATGGTTGACAACCATCTTTCTCTCCATGAGATCAAAAAAGCTAGTACTCTTTGTGGACTCACCTTGCCATCGGCGATAGGTGTGGATTGGCACACATTACAGCTCCAAATATTTTGTCTTACTTCTTTCCCCTGCTGCCCTATGGTGCCACAGAATACGTTACAAGCATTGAGTTCATGTTTCCACACTCATTAGCATATACCTCTAACTTATATTCCTCTGCTACAGGTATTCACCTGGACTTTCATAAATTCTCACTGTACTCTGACTTTTAACCGAGGTTTAAAAGACCTCTACCACTCCCCACTGGTTGAAGGCTCCTTCGCTTCAATCGTTCATTATTTTCCAAAGGTAATTCCAAAATTTAAGTAGATTAAGCGGAGAGAAACAGTGATATTATCGTGTAAAAAAGCGACCCTCTACTGATAGTGCGTTGATGTTTCTCCAAGTAGAGGATCAATGCATTTCATGCCACTCTCACCTCACTATTGGAAATCACCGCCTGGACATCAGACAAGACGAATGAGGTCGGAATGGGGGGTGACCGGAGAAGAAGTAGGAGAGGCGTCTACGTGGATCATTACTTTTTTGCGCCCCGTTTGTGTGATGCTAGCGCAGCTCTCTACCCCTACCCCCTTCCTCGGCTTGGGAGTTGATTAAATTTTTACAAAAATTTGAGTAGATCTCTTTCATGTGTGTGGGTGGGTGTGTGTCAGAATCTTGAATCGCTAACTAATTTTTATAATGCTTACACATAACAAGCTGCCTAGGTTGCCGGCGCGTGGAGCTCCTTCAATTACCATCACAATCAACACCCACTTGGTAACACTGAACAGATTAAGTGTTAAGGTATCAATAATGCAGCTGAAATTCTACCGGTCACTATCGGAAACGGCTATTGCATTTAGTGGCAACAAACCGACTTCTTATCTGATTGCGGAAATTCAACTTGTGTTAGTTAATTCGTTTGTGCCTTAAAAGTGCTACTCATTTTTGTATCCTTTAATATGGCTTTCACTTTCATCGGCACTTGGTGATTTCCTCTGGGTTGCGCATTTATCCAAAATGAAACATCTAAGCAAAACACCCAAATTTGAAAGAATAATATGTTTCGTTTAAATTAATAGCTATATGGTATCATGAGAATCAATCCAATCATCATAAAATATACTACTTAGGACGACGATATCACTAAGATTAAACTATGAGTATACCGTAAACATCAGAGACCGATATGGCAAGATCTATTTATTCAATGTTCTGACATAACTTAGCGAATCGACTCAATGTAATCCGTTTGTGATACTGTGATGAAGGAGCGTCAGTGCAATAACACGTCCGAAGAGTCGACTGCCAACCGGACGACAAGAAATGCTGAACCAGCACATGGAGAAGGCCAAAAAACAAAGTGGGCAGTGATTTAGCCAGTCTATCCACGCCTATCCTCTCTCCATCGCGCGCAATTGCCAGCCCACACCATGTCAGATGAGCTGACCCCATTGCCAGCCGCATGCAAGTACGCGTCTGGTACGACAGACGTGTGTGAGGGAGAGAAGGTAGGGAGAGGAGGAGAGATAAAGAGAGCTAGAGATCAGACCGACATTTATTTCTGAGTGAAAATAAAAGGCTTACCGTCAAGCCTGACTTTGTGTATCGAAGTGACTACACGGCACCGAACCCATGCGCTTGCGTGTGCGCATGTGGAGGCGTGCTTAAGCGGCGGTAGCCAACACACGATATTGTCAGACTCACGTATTGCCAGAGCAGCAGTAGGATAGCTTGTTTGTTAAGAAGGGCCGCCAACCCAAACACTTTGAAGCTGAGTCATGGACTACTAGGGGGCGGAATTCCAAAAAAACACTGAACAAATACACCGCTTATAGGGTTTGTTCTCATTCAAAGTAGACATTTAAGGTATTCTCCACTAAGCTATCCGAAATACTAAAGTTTTACCGAAATAATGGCAGTGTTTGCCCCAAAATGAAGGTGTTGGCTATCACGTAGGTACTGAACGGTCCAAGAACGGCTGTCTGAGAGTTCCTTGAATAATAATAAATCTTCTGCAGAGAAATGCAGAGAGCAGGAGCTGACCTGCCTCATTTGAGTTTGTTGATGCTGATCTGACTTTCACACGCGCCTACGACGGTTTTGCACCGACTCTACTGGCTCGCTTTGTTAAAGTCATTTTAGACTAATAAAACGACTTAATCTCAACTCAACTCCAGTTTCTTCAGGCTTCCAAGTTTTCTGCAAAACACCTCATTTGCAATCATCTCGATGATCTGAATTAGGTACTTCAACGAACATTTCGAATGTACTTATGTCAAATCTCCTATAAAAGGATGGGTTTGGTAGCTCAGTAAATCCCTGCAAATGCGCTTGAGTCATCGAGACCACTTTTAATTTGGTTTGAAAATTTTCTACACAGCGGTAAACTTTACAGCAAATTTTTGAATAGTAAGATAAATTTTCTTATTTATGGGAGAAGTTAAAGGATTCATGCGGTATTGTGAACCGACTAGACTCATATATTTTATACTTGTCCACTTTAACGTTTGTTATTTATTAACGCCATGATATAAGCCAGGATAACCTTTGCCATTAATGACTTCTTTTCATAAAGACAAAAAGCCGTAGGATCGCTTCCAGCATCATTTATTATCATGAACATAAACGACCTTTTGAGAGTGGTCAGAAGGCGCAAATTATGGTACTTTTCCCTCCACTACAGCACATGATTTGTCTTGTTTTTCAAAAGATTCGTGAAATACAGCAACCCTATCGTGTTTGAAGGATGACTTTGATACCAACATATGCAATGATGAAGCTCCAAAGATCTTTTGAGCACCCCCTTAAGTCCGGCTTGATGGCCCTATTCATAAGTGTGTGTGCTTCGATAAACTGCTCGACAAAGTACACGACGTTCATCTACGATCAAAATAGATGAGTGCGCAGTGTAAACAAGTCTGAGGCCACAGGAACTGTAAAAGTGCACAGCACCAACGTGTAGCACCACTAAAACGGGTTTTATTTGTCAATCAACAATGAAAGCCAATGGTGGTTGTTATTGTTGTTGTAAATGTTATTGTGCTAACGGCTGTTCAGAAATACAGTACCATCAAGGTAATTATCATTAGGGCAATTCTCATCATCTACACTTCGTTCCTGATACTAAAGTTATTTAAATCTGACAAAAATACGGCAGAAACGAAATGTAAAATACCATCATTTTAATGCTCAGACAAGTCAAGACAGAATATATGGGAGTCTGTCCTCCACACCGTCTTTCGCCGCAACGGAGGCAGACACCAAAATTGGCCAATAGCAGTTATGATATCTGCGACACGCGCCTCAGGATATCACACAGGATATTAACGCACATACATCTTTCACGACGCGCGCACATCAAGCAGCCATCTGCCAACCAGAAAACAAGCGCGCTTGAGAGGATAACACTCGAAAACCAGTCTGATATCCTCCTATG